ACAGTAAATTTGCCACTATATATACCCCGAATAAAAACATTGCCATTGATGAGTCCCTCATGAAGTTTAAGGGAAGACTGGGGTTTAAACAATATATCCCATCCAAAAGATCCCGATATGGGATCAAATTTTATAAACTGTGTGAAAGTGGCAGTGGCTACATATACACCTTCCGTGTATACGAAGGAAGAGATAGCCACCTTGATCCCCCAGGTTGCCCAGATATAGTAGGGACAAGTGGGAAAATTGTCTGGGACTTAATAATGCCACTACTTAATAAAGGTTACCATTTATACATTGATAACTTATTTTATTTTTTTATTTGTACTTTATTGTTTTTTTTCAACAAGTGACAATACCATACATAGTTGCATGTTGCTAAGACATTAAAGGTAAGATAGGGTGCAAGTCGCAGCTTGCTGTCAATTAATACATTTGCTTGTTTATGGGTCCTAATACAGACATGAGGGTACAGTCTTAAATACAACGCAAATCTTGTACGCCATATTCCCGTGACTGGTACATGTCATTAATGTATGGTTCAAAGTGAGATCATGAACTGAAAACAAGGACATAAAGAAAAAGAAACATAAAAGAAACATATAAAAAGTATGCCATTTGGTATGCAGTGTAGGATCTTATAAAAGTCCAGAGGTGAATAACTGTGTCTAGTGTGGTAGTTCATGTGGTGTTTTGCCTCGACACCCGGGTCCAGTTATACCAAGTTTTCTGAAATTTAAGGGCCTGAGAGGGTGAGCTAAGAGACATTTTTTCGTATATATAGTATTGGTGTATCTTATCTTTCAATTGTGTAAGAGACGGACATGTATTTTTCCAATTGGTCACTATTAGATTCCTGTCTGCCAGGGAGGTTAGAGCTATAAGTTGTTGGTATGTCGGTTCAACCTTAGTGTCTGGTAGCATTAATAAGCAGTTGTAAATGGATGGAGAGAAGGTCGAGAGCCCCAGCTGTAACAGGAGCGCCCGTACATCATCCCACAAGGGTTTGATGCCTCACCAAACGTGTAACATTGTACCCTACTCTGTTCCACATCTCCAGCACAGGGGGGAGACCAATGGATATATTCTGTGAAGCTTGGTTGGTGTGAGATACCAACGGTAAAGTAGTTTTTTATGAGCCTCTATATGTGAGTAGCATTTTGTCCATTTGGACAGTCCATT